CCGTATTGCATGACGACTCGATACTTCGCCATGGCTTCTTTGAATCATTATCCACGAAGCAGTGTTTCACGTAGACATCTTTCAGCCGCTGAATTTCTTCTTTCAGTTAAATGAACAAACGTGAAACAGAGGTTCTGTGTGACGGAGTCGCTGCAATCATTCAGACATAATGTGGTATGCTTTCAGCTGAAGCTTTACCACTAGACAGAAATAGTCACAACTGTCATTTAAGATACAGCTGATTCTATTAATTGCCGCACGTAAATCTTACTGTCAACGAATCAACGGTGAGATACTGGCCAGTCAAAGGGGTTGAGAAATCTTCGCAGCTTTTGGTCGTTTTTCGTGAGTATCTCTGCAGGGAACGGGACGGTATGGGACGGCCAAGGCTGCCCAAGGTCGTGTGTAGATTTTCGCCCCAAAGTAATATAAAAGCTTGGCAGAATTCAGATAACACAGCGGTCCGACAACCGAAATGGAAAAGCTTTGCTAATGGAGCAAGCCTCAGACCGATTGAGAGAACTTATTCAAGATAGTCGGATCTCGCGTATGAACGAGTCAATATTTACAAGGCCAAGAGGTCCAAAAATTCCAGACCGCAGTGACTGAAGTAGCCGGCCAGAGTGACTAAGTTTTGCTGTACGCGGATGACAAAAACGAGTAAAGGGAGATATCGAACTCTTTCAGTTCGTCAGAAGTGCAGTACGGAGAGAAATTCACGTTTCTGACCATAAACCTTCACCAGCAGTGGACAATATGACAGTCAGTTCCGTCAGACTGAAAGACAAACTTTAGTTTTAGGTTTGCTCACAAGCCATATCAGACATAACTGGCCTGGCTACTCTGTCACCACGGGATCAGGTTTTCGAGTGGCGATCAACTCCAAATAATCGAAAGACGACAAATCGACACCAGCTGATCATCGACTTCATCTGATAGCCAGGACTTTTCGAATAGAATGACACAGGCATCACTGAATTTCCTAATGTGCAACGTAGCCTCAATCTCGTTTATCTTGTTTTCGATGGAGAGGACGTTGGAGGAAATACGAAATAATGTACGACAGGAGAAATTTCGCAGCTGCATATTTTAAAAAATTAGTCTGCCAGATAGCTCGACAATCGCGTCAATGCCGACATTTAAAATTTTATGAAAGACCAACTGCCGCAAACGATTTGAGGATCTTCGGCGGAAGGAGAATGATTATCCTTGTACCGACGTTTAGAAATGTCTCTCGAGGTATGACACTCGCGCCTCGTTTACTGAGTTACTGTCACCGCCACAGGAAAACTTCGATATGGAACGAAACAGAAAAAACATAAAAAAACAGTTGAAGCACCGACATAAGTAGAAATGACTGATATGGCACACAACGCCTATTCCCAGCTGCCGAAACAGGCGTCAAAAATTCAGAATAGAGAGGAAGGATTATAGCAAAGGCGGAGAGAACCAACCGCTCCAATTACAACAAACAAACCGCGTTCTACTAAGCTCTAAGTTACACTATTTATTTTTGTACGCACTTCTATCCACTATTTAGTAAATATTCTTTAATAATGGATTGTCATGTGACGAACGAAAAAATGGCACTTCCCCTTCCTACTTCCTTTCCTCAGCTAAAAGTCTCGCTTTACAACGTTTTCAGCCGAAACATCCAAGCAGACACATGATCAAATGAATGAAAGTCATATGTACTATCCGTAACAATGCTGACCATTCTGAATGAATCTTTAAATTAACTGTTACACCCGTACGATTTAATTCGGTCTACGTAAATTTAACCTAGACATCCCGAAGTGAAGAATGGGCAGCATCTAGCCTAACGAATCGTAACCAGGGCGGCGGAGTACAGTGAAGGCAATTACCTTTAATCTGAAGACCTACATTGACACTGATTTAGTTGACTAATGAACTATGTTATTTGGAAGCTCACGGATTTGTCTTCAAAACAAATTTGGACTAAAAAATACACCCACCATGGCTAGAAATTCAGATGAGAGAATTTAGCGAAACTAACGAATACCTTACCCAGGGGCAAATCCGGTTGATTCCAATAAACTTTCTCGAAATCAATTACCCTCCCCCTGTGGAGTAAAATTGCCACTTT